AAATTAAGATGGACCAGCCTATTTTTCTAAATTAATATATAAGGGATGTTACACCTTTGATCATTAATTTTTAACATAATAATTTTAACAGTTTTAGTAATTTATTGTCGTTTTTAAAATTCAAAATATAACATATACGAAAAAAAATCGGTACTATAGACGCCATTTCACAAAACTGTTAAAATGGTGGTCTTTTTGGATATATATTGATCAGAGTAAGTGGGTATACAGTCCTACAGATGTATTAATAATATAACATGCATGTTATATTATTATATAACTAAATAATTATATACCTAATTATTTTAGCGTTAATCAGGTATTTTAGCTAACTTTGACATCAATATTAAAATCAATATAGCTATACGTGGTAATATTGTTGTGGGTATACAACAATAAGATGCATTGACGTATTAATGACTTTGTGCGTGCTACGTAATAATTGATATTTGCTCATGCATATTGCATATATCAATTTTAACATAAATTCCCAAGTTTAACATATTAAATTTTACATTTTACATATACACTTGTCTTTACCATTAAGTATGTACTTGGTCACAAAATAATTTCCATTTTACATATACACTTCCATAAATTAAAAGGAATGAAGTTATTATAGTTAATATATGCAAATCGTTATCAAATCGTATATTTTCCTTTTCTTCCATTACATGTGTGCGATATATATAAATATATAAACTATGTTACATGCGTTATATGCGTCTCTAATTATTTTTCCCTAGCAAATTTCAATTGAACCTANTATAAATATATAAACTATGTTACATGCGTTATATGCGTCTCTAATTATTTTTCCCTAGCAAATTTCAATTGAACCTAAAGCTGCCACGTCAGTTTAATTGGTATGCTAATTGATTGACAACTAAGCAAGGTTACTTTTTAATTATTACAAACTTGAGGTTACATCTTTTCAAATGTTTCTCAATTAATATATAGGGGATATTTCTCAAAATGTATAGTTTACATCTGATATATTTATATGAGGAAATTTGAGCTGCTAAATAATTGAAATTACAATTAAGAAACAAAAGTATCTGATTTGCAAAGTAAATGTGGGGTTTCTAGCTATAAACGTGAGTCATGACAGAGAGATTTGCCTCCTTGCGTCAGACACGCTTTGATATCCTCTTCTTAATTTTTCCTTTTTCCTTTGTTTATTATTCCCAAATCAAATGATTAGTAGTTATCCTCATTGATTCTTTGTTATCCCCATTCAAGACAATAATACTAATAATAATGACAATGATTTGTTTCATGACAAAAATCCTGTTCTGCTCTTAATTATTTTTATTTGCTAAAGACAAATATTCCTAACAATTATATAAACAAATCTCCCTAACAATTATGTAAAAGTTTTCGATAAATTGATGTTTCTTAGAAGTTTCATATCTTGAAAATGATATACATTAAGAAGAGCCGTGTTGTGCATGCGAACCAAATAATTTGAATGTACAAATTAATTATTTTGTAAATTGACTTATATAATTTTTATCACATAGATTACAAATTTAGAGCATTGATTATGTATTTACACACAACGCTATCTTAAATTTCAAAGTTTTAATATTTTTCCATAATTTACATTGGTTCACCAGAAAATTCATGAATTAATTTGATATTCCAGTTTTATAGTAATCTTTTTCTTTGTCAATGATTATATCCCCTATATATTAAAGGAGAAGCATTACAACATTTTTTCATAACAACGTGCCATCACCACAGTCATTCTTAGAATCCTAAGAAAAATATGTTGATCCATCTAAATATATAATAAGTTTTTTATTAAACTAATCATAAATGACTTATTAATGTTTTTCCTTGTTTCCTTAAATAAAGATAACAGAATTGCCAAATATGGTTATAGAATATATGATAATTAATGATTTTCAATAATAAAGATTTTATAAAAATCAGTGTATTTTTTAAATTTTAAGTTATTAAAATAAATTAAACAACTACATTAACTATGTAATAAAAATTTAGATTTTTTCGTATATGAACGACTATAAATGACTAAATATTTTACAAAATATCACATTAAAATTTTTGTGATCCATGGTTAATTTTTTTTATAACAAAATAGAAATAATTATAAAATTATATAAGTAGGAAGTCTCATATAAAAATATATATGTATTTTAATTTCTAATTTGCTTTGATTTTTTTTTTGCAAAATTGAACAAATATTGACAATTTAGTATTTAGTTTTAAACTTTGCATAATGTTTTAAAATTATAAATTAAAAAAAAATGTTAAACATCCCACACAACAAAAATTATTATCAGTGATTTGAAATTTTTGTTATAAAAATATAAAAATGAACAAAAAATAGGCGTATAAACTATAATTTAACCGATATCAATTTAAATTTTTGTTATATTATATTTCTACGATAATATCATTTAAACTTAATTGTATATCATATAAAATAGAAAAGATCTGTTTAAATTAATTAAAAGTATTTACATGTTTACACCAATTTAATTATATACATAATAGTTACTGAATTTTCGATTATCAATATATATTTATTATTTTATAATATGTAAAAATATATAATACCTAAAACTAATGTATATAAAATATTTATTTCGCACAAGGCGCGGATCCTAACTTTGTTTCTACTAATAAAGTGAGACTTTTTTTTTTTTTTTGAACTAGTGCTTGTTGTTTGTTAGGACATAGGACCAGAGTAGAATATTTGCTTAGTTGTATCTAAGACCTGTTTCATTCAAACAAATATGTCAACATAAAGCCCAGGAAAGCCCATTATTAACGTAGTTACTACTTTATTGGCCCATACTTGTTAAAAACGACGTCGTCTCAATCTTTCCACTTTTGGACTTTCCCTTAAGAGCATGTACATCAAAGATTTATAAAGGGTTCATGGGCTGGGATTCATAGATTTTCTTTTTTTTTTTAAATGAAAAATGGGCTTTATTCGGTGAACCCGTCTCTCTCCGCTGAACCCATATGAGACGGGTTCATGGCAGGTGTCAGGCATTGAATGGCTTCTGGTTTGAGGAGTAAAGTTCTCTGTTTCACGTTTCTTCTTCGCTTCTCCGTTTCGCTCTCTGACCAAACAACAAGTCCCACTCTCAGAGGTAAATTTCTTATTTTTTCTGGGTTTTCTCGATTCAAGTTTCTGTTTTGATTCCTGGGTTTTCGTTATTCGAGCTCATGATCTCTGTTTTTATCGGCAATTTCTCGATTTGAAGATCTTTTTAAAGGTTTTACACACACAAAAGGATCATACTTTCATTACAAAAATCAATTTCCTTTGCTTGATTTCAATTTCTATATTAAAAATTTTGGGGAAACATTAAAAAAATGCTGATTTGGTTTCATCACAAACTCTGTTTTCTCTGCATAAACTCTGTTTCTCTGCAGAAACTGATCTTTACGATGAAGAGTTGGTTAAGAAAAAGCTTGGTCATCATCGCAAAGAAGGTTCCCTTAGAGACATTATGTTCTGTATGAGAGCTGATCTCGTGAGGAACCTCGGGAACATGTGTAGCTCGGAGCTTCATAAAGGTAGACTCCAAGTTCCTAGACATATCAAAGAGTATATAGACGAGGTCTCTACTCAGCTGAGAATGGTTTGTAACTCTGACTCATTAGAAGAGCTTTCTTTAGAAGATAAGCTTTCTTTTATGCATGAGACACATCATGCTTTTGGTAGAACGGCTTTGCTTTTAAGCGGTGGGACTTCTCTAGGCGCGTATCATGTTGGTGTGGTTAGGAATTTGGTTGAGCATAAGCTCTTACCTCGGGATATCGCTGGCTCTAGTGTTGGCTCCATAATCTCTTCGGTTGTAGCATCAAGATCCTGGCCAGAGCTACATAGTTTCTTTGAGAATTCTCTGCATTCCTTACAGTTCTTTGATCAGTTAGGAAGCGTTTTCACAATCGTGAAAAGGGTAATGACACAGGGAGGGTAATGACACATGGAGCTTTACACGATATCAGACATCTTCAATGCATGCTAAGAAACCTCACATGCAACCTCACGTTCCAAGAGGCTTATGATCTAACGGGAAGGATACTTGGGATCACCGTTTGCTCACCAAGAAAACATGAACATGAGGAAAGGTTAAGTCTTTTTATTCATTTTGGATTTTTCTTTCCTCTTATGTAATGATGTGGTTTATGTTTGTTCGACTTGATTGGTTCTAGTGTTGACTGATAGTCTTAGCTCAGTTTCATTCATTTTTTTTTACTTTGGCGAAATATTTAGTCTTCCTTGTGGTTCTCACTTAGCCATAAGATATGCACGTCACTTGTGTCTGTATCAATGTATAACCATTGACATCAGAATAGATGTACCATTATGATTTTTTTTACCTCCCTTTATTTCGATTTATCTTGATTTTTTTTCCTTCTTTATGCTGAGAAGTTTGGTTTCTTCGTATTTATGTTGTTTCAGAATGCTTTATCTGATCCTAAAGAGAGACATGATTTGGTTCGACAAAACGTTAAACAGGTATGCCGACAAAACAACAAGATTACATTCTCATCATCTCATATTTAAAAAGCAGTAAATTTGATTATCTCTCTTTGCCTTTCCATTAAAAATAAACAAAACTTTGTCTCTTTTATTTGTTTTTAGGTTATATGTTCAGTATGTGAAACAGAGCAAGAGGTGGGGGTTGCTTATTCTGTTTTTTTTTTTTTTTGTTATTTTCTTGCAAAATAATAGTTTTAAAAACGAAATATATTATTTTATTCCTATGAACTCCAATTTCGGGTTCATTGATGGAAGAGCACATTTCTTCCGGGTTCATTACTATTCACGGTCCCACTAAAAAATAATAAAAAATTTTAATGAACCCCAAAGGGAGGTTTATTAATGTGGTTGCTCTAATATTTAATACCTAGTAAGGGGTTTATGAAGGGCTTTGACACCTCTGTAGTCTTCTTCCGTCTTCAGACACTATCCGTACGGTTTCTTGTCTCTCAGGGCAAATACCTAACCCTAATTTCCCGATCATGCTGAAGCTCCTCTCTTCAACCGCTCTAGTGAATCCGTCTTCTCGGGTCGGGTCAATTCCGGTCAAGACTCCACTCTTCAAAGCACTGAGTCAGCTAACCGGATGGAACCGGACTCCCCACGAGTTGACTCGTCGTGCTTTCTGCTCTAACCAAAGTGACGTCGCGGCCGATCTCAAGTCAGATGTGTCGGATTCCGACAAGAAATCGTCCTCAGCGGTTGTTGTCTCAACGACCACCAACCTTGACGATTATCAAACGGTTTGTATAATTCTTTTTTTCTTAAAAGTTCACTTTTTTATGACACTTGAAGAGTTTTGTGATCATGGGTTTATTGAAATGAATATGCTTTAGATTTTCTAAGATCATAGAGAATGTAATTCAATTAGCATTAGTGTTAGGGAGCCAAAAAGGTAGATCCTTTAATAGCTTTTGTGTTGTTTAATTTTTTCAGGTTATAGCATTGCCATTGCCCAAGAAGCCTCTTTTTCCTGGCTTTTACATGCCCATCTATGTCAAGGTATGTTATTTACAAGTTACAACCTTTTTTTTTTTTACATTTCTTAAGAATTTTGGGACTATAAACATTTCTTGGACTATAAACATTTCTTAAGAATTTTAATTAAAAAAAAAATTCAAAATTTTGACTGGTAAAGTCAATGTTTCATACCATGTTTTGCTGTCCACTAGGTTGGACTGTCTTTTGTATTTTTTTTGTCTCAGCTTGTGTTTGTCTAAGTTGTATAGAGTTTTGTTTTTGTGTGTAGGATCGTAAATTAATTGAAGCTTTACAAGAGAGCATGAGGAGACAAACTCCATACGCAGGGGCTTTCCTTTTGAAGGATGATGAAGCTTCAGCTGATTCATCTACTTCTTCTACCTGTGAAACAGAGAATGTTCTAGAGAGTTTGAAAGGCAAAGACTTGCTTAACCGTATGCATGAAGTTGGTACACTTGCTCAGGTACACCTCTCTTACTTCACTTTAGCTTCCTCTAGTCTCTGTTTGAAAATGACTTTAACCATTTTTAAATTTTTGTTTAGATTTCAAGTATCCAAGGTGAGCAAGTCATCCTTATTGGTCGCAGACGTCTTCGTATAACAGAGATGGTGAGTTAATGGAGTAAACATTTTAAAGTTCAGAAGCTGTGTGTGTCATTGAGAAAACAATGTGCTTTGTTTTTTTTGTACAGGTGAGTGAAGATCCTTTATCCGTCAAAGTTGAACATATAAAGGTGTGTGTTTCTGTTTTCTAGCCTTTACAAGCAGGGGAGCAAGAACATGTGGTTTCTGTTTCCTTTTGTAAATTTTTAAATCTTTGTTATTTCTCTGCAGAATAAGCCATATGACAAGGACGATGATGTCATCAAGGCAACATACTTTGAAGTTATGTCGACACTTAGGGATGTCTTAAAGACAACTTCACTCTGGAGAGATCAAGTTCGGACATATACTCAGGCATGCTCTCTTCATATTCAACACTGCTTGCAATTGCCAAAATACATCAAAATTATCTTAATAATTTTTTTTTCCAATTTCTGCAGCATATAGGTGACTTCAATTATCAACATTTAGCTGATTTTGGAGCCGGGATCTCTGGCGCTAACAAAAATGATAATCAAGGAGTTCTTGAAGAACTGGATGTAAGTAGTTTCAACCATAAGTATTGAATCTGAGATTACTTCAGCAGCTTGTCATATTAGTTACTTTGATCCAGGTTCATAAACGTCTGGAGTTGACGCTAGATTTGTTGAAGAAAGAAGTGGAAGTTAACAAGATTCAGGTACTTACTTCATCATGCTTTCACTTTCCATATTTTTTTGTAAATGATATTTTTTTTAATCTAATAATGAATCCTCATAATCACTTATGATTCATGTTTTAGGCATCCATCGCAAAAATTGTTGAAGAAAAATTTAGTGGTGAGAGACGACAACTTGTGCTAAAGGAGCAGCTAAAGGCTATCAAAAAGGTTTATTCATCTTACCCTCTCAAATCATGTCTCTGCTCCTTTTTAGTATCATTGGCTGATTATTGAGTGTTCCAAATGCAGGAGCTTGGGGTTGAGACAGATAGCAAAACTGCATTTTCTGGTTAGTAGTATTACCACTAGTACACAGAATAACGAGATGATTCAAGTTTTTCAGATATTGATAAAAGTCCTATTATTTTGTGCAGAAAAGTTTAAGGAAAGGATCAAACTTAATAAAGACAAAATACCAAAACATGTGTTAAAAGCCATAGAAGAAGAGCTTACAAAACTGCAGCTCTTTGAAACAGCTTCAAGCGAGTTTGATGTTACCGTTAACTACCTTGATTGGTTGACTGTTCTGCCATGGGGAAACCTCAGGTTTGCCGTTGTGTAATTTTATATTTCCTTTTTTTTTGGTTTGCACTGATTGAGAAGACTCATAATTAATTAATTTGGTTAATTGCAGTGATGAGAATTTTGATGTCTTAAGAGCAGAGAAGATTCTTGACGAGGATCATTACGGTTTATCTGATGTAAAAGAAAGAATACTAGAGTTTATTGCCGTTGGAAGTCTAAGAGGCACTTCACAAGGTCGTATCTCTGATTATAATACTCTTCTTTGCTTTCAAAACATTTGTGAAACTGAAAGGTTTGTAATAAAAATGGTGTCAAACAGGGAAGATCATATGTCTCTCGGGTCCTCCTGGAGTAGGAAAAACTAGCATAGGACGTTCTATAGCACGTGCTCTTGACCGCAAGTTCTTCCGGTTCTCTGTTGGTGGACTATCTGATGTTGCCGAAATTAATGTATAATACTACGTGACAAAGCTTTAAATCTGTTAAGCATAGATTTTTAAATAATTCATATGTTATTTACTGTGTTTAGGGGCATCGTCGAACATATGTTGGTGCCATGCCTGGGAAGTTGGTGCAATGTCTAAAGACTGTGGGAACAGAGAATCCTATCATTCTGATTGATGAGATTGATAAGGTATTTATAGTCTTTTAGTATTTGAATTGGTTATAGAGTTAACAGCTTGAAAGTCTATTGTTCTCCTTGGCAGCTTGGAAAGAGCAACTCTGGTGACCCAGCTAGTGCGTTGTTGGAGGTTATGGATCCAGAGCAAAATGCAAATTTTAGAGACCACTATCTAGATGTTACTATTGATTTATCCAAGGTTTTTTCACCAATACTATGCTATATATTTTATCATATGCAATATACTATGTAATAGGCAATTTATGTGTTTGAATTTAAGGTCTCTTAAAACTATTTTGTTGCAGGTCTTATTTGTATGCACAGCAAATGTGATAGATACGATTCCGAAACCTCTGCTAGATAGGATGGAAGTGATTAGTCTCGCAGGGTATATCACTGATGAGAAGTTGCATATTGCTAGAGACTTTTTGGTTAAAAACACATGCAGAGACTGTGGCATCGAGCCTGAACAGGTCTCTCTCACTCTTAAACCTTTTGCTGTTTTTTAGTTTCTTTTTTTTTTCGTCATTATCTGAAAATGTGTTCTTGTTTTTACTCTTTGCTAGGTTGATTTGAGCGATTCAGCTCTTCTTTCGTTGATAGAAAATTACTGCAGAGAAGCTGGAGTTAGAAACCTCCACAAGCATATTGAGAAGATTTACCGTAAGGTAATGTTTTCACAAAGAACTGAACATTCTGTTGTTTACTTGAGTCTCTCAAGAATCTAAAACTATTTGACTTCTTTGGCAGATTGCACTTAAACTAGTACGCCAAAGAGCATCCAAGGAAGTGCCTGAAGATACTAAACCTTTAGCAGAAGGATCCACTGATGAGTCAGCAACTAAGGAGTCAACAGATTCAAAGACTGAGCAGAGTGGAGTGGTTATGATTGAGGAATCAAACCTTGCTGATTACGTAGGCAAACCTGTTTTCCATGGAGACAAGATCTATGAACAGACACCAGTAGGTGTTGTAATGGGTCTAGCTTGGACATCCATGGGTGGATCAACACTCTACATAGAGACAACCTTTGTGGAAGAAGAAGAACGCAAAGGCCGTCTTCGTATAACAGGCCAGCTCGGAGACGTGATGAAAGAAAGCGCACAGATAGCTCACACAGTCGCCAGAAGAGTCATGCTTGAGAAAGAACCAGGGAATCTCTTCTTTGCAAACACCAAGGTTCATCTACATGTTCCTGAAGGAGCCACACCAAAAGACGGTCCAAGCGCAGGCTGCACAATGATCACTTCCTTGCTATCACTTGCAATGAAGAAGACTGTAAGGAAGGATCTTGCAATGACAGGAGAGGTCACTTTAACCGGTAGAATACTTCCAATAGGTGGAGTAAGTATCACACAAGCTACTACAGTTATATAGCTTTCTCAGTTTCTGTTGAGTTGATTAAGTGATATACTTTTAAACATCTCTCACAGGTTAAGGAGAAGACTATAGCTGCGAGAAGGAGTCAAGTGAAGATGATAATCTTTCCAGAGGCTAACCGTAAAGATTTTGATGAGCTTCCAGAAAACTTGAAAGAAGGGCTTGATGTTCACTTTGTGGATGAATATGAACAGATTTTCGAGCTAGCATTTGGATATGACCATTAGAAGAAGAAATTTGAGAAGTCTCACTCACTTGAGATCTTCCTTGTTGTTGTTGTTGTTGTCAACTACACTTGAAAAGTAAAAACTCTTAATCAGTTAAAAACATTGAGATTATGAGATATTATTAATTTATAAAATTATTAATATACAAAAGGAAAATTATTAAGCTGACAGAGAAGACACATTTGTTTAGAAGTATATATATATATATATATATATATGTAAAGAGAAAATGACCATTAAAATTATGAACTTCAAATTAAAGATAAAAAAACTTTCAATTCATGTCTGAGTCAAAACAAAACTTCAATTTTAAATATTGGTCGTTTTAAATCTCATATTTTGTTGACTTGTCCATATAAAAAACTCAAATAGTCAACTGTTAAACTTGATTACAAAAACACATGTATATTAATTCTTTAAACGATGTAATTTTAAAAAATAATTAAAAATTAATCAAACAACGTCGTTTTTGTAATTTTCTTCGTATGTTATGAGTATAATTTTAGAATTTGCTTTGCTTAGGAAAAATACGGATATCCGGAAAAAAATGGTTATCTAGATTTAAATAGATATTTTTCCAGATATTTTACGAGTACTCACAGATATCTCATATGTTTTGATTAATACAAATAATCTTAAAAATTTGACACAAAATTATTTTGTAAAATGTTTTTTGCATGGTGTATAAAATAAAAACTAAAACAAGTAGTGAATTTACATAATTTGTAATTTTTTAAGTTTAAGTTAACAATTATAATAACACAAATGGGTACCCAAACGCCCGCACTCAATCAACTTTACGGGAATATTTCCTTTAAATTTCGTTATCCTTTTCCTTTACAAAACTTCCTTTTTATGGGACGAATTTTAGGAATACATCCTTTAAATCATTAAAACATAGGGAGTTGAATAGTCGTATAAATATATGTCTAATCCATCATAAAGCCTTCCAGATCAATACATAACGTACATGAAGATATTCAACTCCAAAAACTACACCGCTACTCCAAGTACTTGGATGAATAAAGGTATCCGACGACTGACTTTCCTCTGTTCTTATTATATTATAACGCTTTTTATAAAATTCCCATTAGTTTGCTGTTTTGCTTAAACTGATCAACAACAATTATACCAGAAAATTCATTAAATTAATTCTTATCATACAGAACGTGTCTTAAAAGTCACAGAAGAAGTGCAGGAGACAGATGACGAACATGTATTTTCTGGTTAGTATTGTATTGTATTTGTATTGTTCAGAATGATTCAAAATTTTAGATTCCACTGGTGATTCACTTTCTATAATTTTTCTTGTTTTCTGCAGAAGAGTTTAGGATAAGGACTGAACAAATTAAAGAAAAGATTCCAAAACATGTACTAAAAGTCATGAAAGAAGAGTTTGCAAAACTGGATATATTAGAATCTGATTCAAACAAATTCCAGGATACTTATGACTACCTTAACTGGTTGACCATACTGCCTTGGGGAAATTTCAGGTTTGCCTTTTGCCTTAAGAGTCATAACACTGTGATTGAAAAGTGTCACTTAATAACCATATTTATTTGTTTTTTTTTGTTTTTTGCAGTGATGAGAATTTTGATGTCTTACGAGCAGAAAAGATTCTTGACAATGATCATTACGGATTATCTCATGTAAAAGAGAGAATCCTAGAGTTTATTGCTGTGAGAAAACTCAGAGGCACTTCAAAAGGTCTTGCATCCAATTTCCTTTCTGACACACTCGATCTTGTTTGCTAAAAAGACTAAACTGAAAGTTATAATGTGCCAACAGGGAAGGTCATATGTCTCTCAGGGCCTCCTGGAGTAGGTAAAACTAGCATTGGCCGTTCTATAGCACGTGCTCTTGGCCTCGAGTTCTTCCGGTTCTCCGTTGGAGGACTAGATGACGTTGGCGAGATTAAGGTAAAGAATTATAATTCAAATATGTAATTAATCATATCATTTACAAATAATAATCTTTTCTCTTATAAATCGTTTTAGGGGACTCGTCGATCATATGCAAATGCATTGCCTGGAATAATGGTGAAGTGTCTAAAGACCGTGGGAACATTAAATCCTCTCGTTCTGATCGATGAGATTGATAAGGTAGCTTAGCTGCTTGTTACTATTTTGAGTTGCCCTTTTCGAATTTTACAAAAGTATCTTAAAAGTCTATTGAAATGAGAACATAATAAACATTCTTTACTATACAAAAATCGAGAATTTGGAATCATACGACCTATTTATAATAGTATTTAAATTTAGGAGATAAAGCCATTGTTTTATGGGCAAATCTCTCAAATAACCCTCTTTTAAGTTTTTATCACAAAATAGACCTCAAATAATAAAATGACCAAAATAGCACTTTTTATTTTGAAAATTTTAAGTTTTTTAATTTTTTTAAATTCGAAACCGTATCTCCAAAACCACATTCCTCAACTCTAAACAAAAAATCTAAGATTAGTTAATCCAAGTGGTATAAATGTATATTTAATAAAACATCTAAGTGTTATTTTGGTCATTTTAATTATTAAGATCTATATTTGTGATAAAAACTTTTTAGGTCTATTTTAGTCATTTTTTCTTGTTTTATCCAACCAGCAATGTCAATAATAAATGTATATCTATCCTTTGGCAGCTTGGAAAGAGCAGCTCTGGCGATCCAGCCAGTGCGTTGTTAGAGATTCTGGATCCAGAGCAGAATGCAAATTTTCGAGACCATTATCTAGATGTTACTATCGACTTATCCAAGGTTTTTAACCCTACACTATATAATATTGTATTTTTAAAAAATATATATATAAACAAATGTTCAGTGTTTTGACGTAAGTTATAAACTAATTCCATGCAGGTCTTATTTGTATGCACAGCAAATGTGTTAGATACGATTCCGAAACCTCTGCTAGATAGAATGGAGGTGATTAATATCTCAGGGTATATCACTGATGATAAGATGCATATTGCTAGAGACCATTTGCTGAAAACCTTATGCATAGATTGTGGCATCAAGCCTGAACAGGTCTCACTCACAACCACTTGTCCATATGTTTTTGTATGTATTCATGTTTTTTATAAGAGATTTACTCTCAACTTGTTTTCTACTTTTTTGCTAGGTTGTTGTGAGTGATGCAGCTCTCCGTTCGTTGATTGAAAATTACTGTAGAGAACCAGGTGTTAGAAATCTCCAGCAGCATATTGAAAAGATTTACCGTAAGGTAAGTTTACAAGTTCACCAAACACTCCAAATAGCTTACTTGAGTCCCAAGAAACTAAAATACAATTGATATTTTTATTTTTTTTGGCAGATTGCTTTGAAGCTAGTGAGAGAAGGGGCATCCTCGGAAGCTCCTGAGGTTTCGGTTATGATTGATGAACCAAACCTTGCAGATTATGTAGGCAAACCAGAATTTAATGAAGAGAAGATCTATGAGGAGACACCAGTAGGGGTTGTAATGGGTCTAGCTTGGACATCCACTGGTGGCTCACCACTGTACATAGAGACAACCTCTGTAGAAGAAGGAGAAGGCAAAGGTGGTTTTCATATAACGGGTCAGCTTGGTGATGTGATGAAAGAAAGTGCAGAGATAGCTCACACCGTAGCCAAAAGAATCATGCTCGAGAAAGAACCCAAGAACCGTTTCTTTGCGAACTCCGAGCTTCACTTACATGTTCCTAGAGGAGCCACACCAAAAGACGGTCCAAGCGCAGGATGCACAATGATTACTTCCTTGCTATCACTTGCAATGAGGAAGCCTGTAAGGAAGGATCTTGCAATGACAGGAGAAGTCACTCTAACCGGTAGAATACTTCCAATAGGTGGAGTAAGTGACACGCTACCACTACTATGTTATAGCTTTCTAGTTTCTCAGTTTCTGTTAAAACTAACACACAAAATCTCTCACAGGTTAAGGAGAAGACTCTAGCTGCAAGCAGGAGTCAAGTGAAGATGATGATTTTTCCTGAGGGTAACCGTGGAGATTTTGATGAGCTCTCTTGCAACTTGAAAGAAGGGATTGATGTTCACTTTGTGGATGAGTATGAGCAGATTTTTGAGCTAGCTTTTGGGTATCATTTGGGATCTCCTCCGTTGAATTTTACAAGAAGTTTGACAAGTCTCATGTGGGATTTACTTAGTGGTTGTTTTCAGTAGCATATCACTGATACTTAAGAAATTCTTTAGGTTGATCTTCCTCTACCTCTTACTTATCACAAGATTAATTGTAATATATATGAGACAGAGATTCTGTAGTACTATTACTACCAATTTGGAGAAATTATTTTTGAAGTTAAAAAAATGGTTTTACAATCTTTTGATTATTTCTTGTTTGGAAATCAATTGGTAACAAACGCCAAACATCATCATCATGACTTACATCGATTAAGGAATCACAAAGTAGGATGTTTAACGATCAATATTAAGAATTAATGCCTGCTTTTATTAGCTTGCTTCCAATAGTATCTGATTAGCTATTCTTGTTTATACTTTATACCCAAGAAAAACATGAACCTGCTTTGATAAAATAGTATTGATAAATGAAATGATTGTTGTCAATGAGATGTGCTTTATATACATCCTTTAGAAATTTCTCGAATCTATAACCCTTGTCATGTGTGTCGTTGTTATTTCTTTGCAGGATGGATTCTTTGTTTCTATTATATATATTGTTCAGTGAGATTACAACTTTCCGAGGCACCACTAATTCATGATGCCTAACTTTCTATAGTACTAAGAATTAACTTAGAGGTGTTAAAAGATTAGGATCAGGATAGACTTTATTAAAGACATTACAATACATATTAGAACTCATCGGTACCGGTCCTGAGGGGAATCATTACAAACAACCGCTTCCGGCCCTCAAAAAATACTTGAAAAATTCAGTCTTTTTTATAAGAAAATTATTATTATAGTATATAACGTTCTTATAAAAATGGCTAATTTTTTGAAAATTGCTTCTGCTCTTTCCCATGTCAGAACCGGTACTGGAACTCATAGAAGAAGATCAGCTTAAATGCTTAATGTGACCTATGGAAATCATGATACAAAATCTGATCACTGATCCACTGGCCCTCATAAATTTCATCATGTGGTAAGAAAAAAAGAAAAAAAACATGGTAAGGAAATCAAGAGTTGAAAGATGAGCTTGAAAATATCAAAGAAAATATATGTGACAATTGCAAAAAGAAAAGAGTAAGAAGAGATACTTTTTTTTTTTTTTTTGAAAAAAGCAAGAAGAGATACTTCTTCAAGATTGTAGTTAAATGCTAGCTCGAATATCTGCTCATATTCATCGACGAATTGAACATCAAGACCCTCTTTCACATTTTCCGGGAGCTCATCAAATTCTCTCCGGTTAGCCTCAGGAAATATTATGGTCTTCAATTGACTCCTTCTTGCCCCCACAATCTTGTCCATCACCTGAGAAAGAATGTATAAATTACTAAAAATAATAATATAAATAGTAGTATATACTAATAATTCTAGTGTTATGTGGTTTACATGGGAAATTTGACCAATTCCACCCGTTGGAGTTATTTCTCCGGACATTGCAAGATTTTTCCTAACAGATTTATTCATGGCAAGTGACAGCAAGGAAGTGCATATCGTGCAGCCTGCGCTTGCACCGTAAACCCTACGGGTGTCTGCTCATACAAAACTTGTTTCCCAAACAGTATAAAGAATGTGCAGTTCCCCTGACTACCGAGCTTGCTTTTCTCTGGTGATGGACCACAAGATAACCTGGAAGCAGATACACAAACAGGTGAGAAAAGGAAATTTGATCAGATTACATGAACATGTTTTAATGTTCAGCGCTTTTTAGAAATATAGCTCAGTTTTTGACACAGAAACCTTGTTACAACTTTGTTGTTTTAAAACAGAAGAATTTTTTCAGACCCATTTTTACTGTATGATTCTTAGTTTTTATCTTTTTTACTAGGGCCATAACTCACAGGAATTTTGATCATTTTGATTCTCTTGATTTGATGCTTCTGATACAAAAACAAATAAGACTACTCAAAATGATGCCAAAGTAGATAATAACAAAAACTGAACTTCTTTGAATCATGAAATGCATAGTCTTCATATTTACCGATCAAGTCTTGTTCTAAATTCTAATTAATGCACACACAAAAAAAACTTACTTACTCCTAACAAAATTAATTAATATAACGCATTTCTTTTAACGCATTCATTCTTCTAACAGTTTAAGCTACATAATGAATTGGGACAGCAATTCATTAAAACATGAGTTACATTTACACGCTAATATATATTGATAGAGAATTCTACTATATACAATAACACTAAAACACCATATTCTTATTTAACATTTAGAAAAAACATACACTGCTTTTTCAAAAAAAAATAAAAAACATACACTGTTCCTTCACATCTAAAGCAGGCAATGGGTATATCTTGCATCACAAGAAACACATATTCCATCCTCTCTCTTCATCTTATTCTCATTCTCATCATCACCCCTTCATCTTCATCCTTTACTCCCACAGACATCGTCACAAAAGAAACCCTCAACAAACTCTGCTCAAAATCAATCATTTTCAACCGTCGCTTTTGCATCAAATGGCTAACCGCTGACCATAATAAAACGACCTCAATGAACATTCATGGCCTTATGGAGCTCGCAGTAGAAAAATCTCAAACGTTTGGTCAGGAAAACCTAGAATTGATGAACGTCTTTGCAAAGATCTCAGATGATGACAAGCAGTTCAAGAACGCTTGCGTTGAATGTGTGAAGGGTTATGGCACAGCGATCAAAGAGCTTGAGGGGGCTAAAGAGTTTTTGAGAAACAGCTCGTTCCAACAAGCGTTTTACGCTGCTTCGAAAGCAGTTGATTATGCTTACGTCTGCAAAGATCAGTTCGAAGGACCGTCTAATGAGCCGCCTTTTGTTTTGAATCGTAGTGTGAAGTTTATCACAATGTGTCAAATTGCTAGATTTTTCACTACTCTTTTCATTTAAATTCATATATGATTCACCTTCAAAAGGATAATATAATACTCGAAGAAAATTCAATAATAAAATTTTGTTTCAAACAGTTTTTTCTTTGCATAGGGATAATTTTCAACAATATATTATACAAACCAAAATATAATTTTATAAGATATAAAATGAGAACAAAACTATACATCAATAAGAGGTTAAAATATGATAAAGATTACTCTCAATTCTTTTCACAGTTATCACACGGATGTAAACTGCTTTTACAAATCTTGCCGTCGAATAAACTCTTCAAAGTAGTGTAGTAACGTTCATATATTAAGACTTGGTAAAGGATAAAATTAAGTTAAAATCTTAAACATATATAAACAGTATTTTCTTTTCAGTCTTGCGTTTTTGGAGATATATAACCGTAAAAAATGGTGGTTCAATTGATTAGAGAATAGATTATTATATTCGAATTTGGTACCGTGTGGATCAAGGAATGGATCCAAGCATTGCTTCTAGGATTCTACATCGAATCCGAATTTGGTAGCTAGGCTCGGCAATCATGTCCCTTCACCTTCGAGAGGCGGATTCTCAACTCCGGCAACGGAAGCTGCGATTTTCCTTCCCCGGACGGCGATTTGAAGAGGCCTTCGCGTAACTAACACCAAGCTTTGATTTTTCCCGCCACTTTTAAAACGTTTCCGTGTTATTCTGCGTTAGATGGGCTTTGAGGCCCAACAAACCCTCTTTCTTTTTTGAAACCCAGCTTAAACCCGGTATCATGGTTTACCTTTCCTGGTTCAAGTGATCTCTAAATGTCTAGGTGAGGGTTTTTCACATAAGAAAAAACAATAGAGGAAAGTCTTTTCAGATATTGCTGTAAAGATGAGGACATTTTGGCTAGTTGGATGTATGGGTTGGAAAGGGAAAAATTAAAAAGTTTGGTCCCAAATTTTTATTTTGGATTTATTGGGGGAACATTTTCAAATTCAACGGTGTAAAGTGTAAATTAAGCAATTCTTGTAGTTTGCCTCTGGATATTTCCCTAATTACATAGAAGTCATTTGGTTCCATTAATAGGTTCATAGCTCGGGCCATGTCCACTTGGTTCTTGAGGAAGGACCACTACTCAAATAAAGTCAGATCTTTCTTTGATTTGTCTAGTCTCTATTATTAAAATTATATATATCGTAAAGATTAGTATTTGGAGAAAAATAAATTAGTGCATATTTATACAAGAGCAACAATTATTTTGTACATTTCCATTATTCTGAATCCTACATATTACTTGTTGGAAAATAAGTAGTTACCAAAATTAGGGTATAGAAGCAGTCACAATGCATGGGAGTGAGTAGGTTGCTATAATATAAGTATATTTAGAAAGTAACTGGTACCTGGTCTTACTTAAGTGAAACTTGTTTACCAAGTGAATTGGCAATGCTGATACATGCATGGTAATGTTTGTTCTTCCATTTTGTATGGCATTTATAAAATTATAATAAATCATGATTTTTATTTTAGTAATCAACGTAGATACAATTTTTTAGATACAAAATTAGTGTCCATAAGAAGTATCTTCAATGTACATTGTTACTTTTGTCTCTATAATAACATTTAGAGGTAATTGTACTCTAACTCATTATTATTATTATTTTTTTATCTAAAATAAATATTCCTATTTTTCTTCTACTTCTATATATTTAAATGAAAATATCAATTTTATTGTTAACTCATTATTTTTTATTGTTTACTCAATATTTTGAAGAGGTCTATTATGAAAAATACATTGTACTATATTTCATCTCTATTAATTATACATATATTTTTAGTTTTTGAATAAATTTTCAATTTATTTACCTCAAAGTTTACAGCCAGTGCAGTGCATCTATTGCTTGAGAAGGAATTTAGAAAACAGAACAGAATTGCTTTTCTGAGAAAAAAAAACGCAATGAAAAGATTTCATCGGCTTGCAAACTAAATTGTTTCATGCTTTCTTCCAGTGGCAATGCTGCATTGAGTAAGTGTGGGGCAGTTGTCCCCTTGAAATCTTAAAATTCAGTGTTTATTATTTAAAATTTTAGTGATGCCCTTGTTCATATATACTCGCTCTGTTTCTAAAAGATCTATATTCTAGTTTTTCACACTTTTTAATAAAATACAATAAATTTGTATAGTTTTTTTATATTTATTTTCTTTTCATAATATTAAACCAATCAAAAATCAATTAGTGCAATTAAGTTTTTTGAAGTTTACAACTATTTAATAAAACATACATTGAAAATGTAAAAAATAGATCTTTTAGAAACAAATTTTCTTTGTAGAATATGTATCTTTAAGGAACGGATGGAGTATATATATCATTTCTGCTCCGGATCAAAATAATTTCTAAAATCCACCACTACTGCCTTCTTCCCCCCCCCCCCTTTTTCTCTTATCGAAGAGATTCTGTTCCAAACCAGTTTATCAAGAGAGTAGCAAAATACATTGAAAATGGCTTAACAGCTAAAAAAAACAACTCACATGTTTTATTAAAGTTTTATGTGATTAATATCTAGCTAGCTATCATAACAGATATGTTGACATTGTGAAAGTACATAAAACATCAAAAGACAGAATGTATGCTTTCATCTAATTAAGTGATTAAAAATTACGTCGACAAAACACAAAACAACTTGATTATTATTCAAATCGAAATAACATACAACATAGATGTAGAGGGAAGCAAACTCATTAGCTTCGTCCTACGAACTATTTTATTTTATGTAAAGAAAGAAAACAACGCTCACACATATAGTACTTAAATCCAACGAGACCACCACGCTTACATTCTTATTTTTTTACTTCAATACTTCAGTAGTTTAATAACGACCGTAGCAGTGGCAATGATCGTCGTCGTCATTTGTTAAATGCACTCCATCGTGGTGGTGATCATGATCCTCACACTCTCCTCTGCATGACTCGTGGTAATGCTCAGCGCATTTGGCTTCACAAGAGCTTTCGCTACATGGGTATGATAATATGGCTTCGCCTAAAAACTTCGTACATGACGCCTCGCTCTTTGGGATTTCTATATATAATGAGCATTCATTCAGTTTATATACACTGAAAGACACGTATTTTTGGTATATATGCATGCGTATGAATATTTTGAGAAAAAAGTTGAACCAAAATTACCGGCCGAAATGAATAAGACAACGAGCAAAAGAGTGGTGAAGCAGATGGAACTGGTGGTCTTTGCCATTTCTGTAACTCTTGATTCTTCTTTCTACTCCTAGTTAATTGCTTCTTTATGTATTCAGAAACTTGTGTGATATGATGGACAGGGGTGTTAATCTATTTATAGTGAAAATATAGTTGACTTTTGTAACCCAATTTGCAACGTCGTGGTTTTATTCTTACATAGATGTGGCCTATTTGTTGGCTAGCATGCTACCGTTTTAAAGCCCAATTGCTAAATCCTCTCAAAGCCTACTACTAGAAGTTTGAGAAAGAAATTATAAAAGGTTGAGAATTGAGATACATAAGATAAACCGGTTAAAGAAGTATCATCAAATCGTTGGCATGAAACTTCTCCGGTGGGTTTCCGGTGAACAAGTGTTTGAAGGGTGTAGGAGGATGTAGAGAAGTAGAAGTGGTGACTGGAGGAAGAAAGGAAGTAGAACGGTGGAAGAAGAGTTTTGTTGGCTATGTGATTTTTCCTCATTTTAACGAGTATGGGGTTGGAAATAGTAAAAAAAAAATGCTGCCAACTTTTCATATATTGTGAGTAAACAATTAAATTCAACTATGTAGATTAACCAAGTTTTCAAGTTTTCTTAATGACAGTATTACCTAATTCTTTTTTTATCAACTACCTAATTCTATTGAGGTCATTTTATATTAACTGTTTCCCATAGCTCGGCTTCGTAGCCACTTGATTCTAGCTATTTCTTAATGAAACTCCTCATTAATGTCTTTAACTATCCGGGTGAGGTAATCTATTTCGACCTTTTAAAAAGCTTTATAGTCAAATCCTACTTCTCTTTTTATTTGATTTTCTGTAATAATTTCTATAACTTTATAATGCTAGAGCTTTAAATAAAAGGATTATTACGGCAAAGGCTAGAACTCTAGTTTACAAATATTTTAATGCATGCTTGAATTAGTGTATACAATAAAATATAAACGAATGCCTAATTTAGATATTCTCTGAACAAGATCGGCTGACTCGACCTTTCCTGAAACGTAGTCGCCAAGAAAAAAATAACAGTAGTGGCGTTTATACTTTCATAAGTTTTTTTTTTTTTTTGAGAAAGGGCTTTTACTTTCATAAGTTTGTGGGTTTAATAAGAATTTTGGTAATCAGCGTAGGGGAAAGTAATTAAAATAGCTATTCTCCAAACTAAGAAATTTATCACCGAAATATACTCCATGTATTATGTGGATATGTAGCTGCATATGATTTATAATTCTTGCGATTTGCTAGAGACATTTTAACGAAAATCGTGAAGGAAACGAGTACAGTTTTTTTTCTAAATCGAATTATAAATTAGACATAACACAAAAGTATAGTTTATTATTAATACGAAACAGCATACAACATGATTTTATTATAAACTTTTTTTGACATCTATCTTATTATAAACTTAGAAGATCAATATTCTTCATTTTATTTATAGCAAACAGCTTGAACATATATGATATATCCCTTACTATATCGAACATACCACACTTACATTATAAATATATAAGATCTTATTTGTTTTTTTCCATTCGCAAGGTTTTATTTTTATGTGGTTTTCAGTACTTTCCGTAGCAGTGGCAATGCTCTTCATAGTCATGCTTCTCACACTCTCCTTTACACGAGTTGTAGTAATGTTCCCTACATACTTTCTTACAAGCTCTTTCCTTACATGGATGCACTGGGGCTTCGCCTAAAAACTGATTACAGTTCGAGTTCGCCTCGCTCTTCGAGATTTCTGTACATATCCAACATCCATTCAAACGCATATATATAAATACTCTAAATTTGATAACGATGAGACTGAAGAAGAGCAGGGCCGGCCCTGGGCTAAAACCCGTAAAGCTTGGGCTTTAGGCGCCAAACAATGTATAAATATTAGGGGCGCCAAGATCTTTAAGTTTGCTAATCTAGTCCAGTGGCTTGTTTTCTTCTGTTTTTACTAAAACTTACAGGTTCGAACCCTGTGCTCACAAACAAATCTAATTTATTCTGATTCTTTTAGTGATAATTATAGTTTACTTATTTATATTGTATTAAATGATTGTCATACAAAATAGAATAAATTAACTAAGGTAAAGTTTCTTTTCCAAAACAATGTCATTTACGAGAGACTAGTCATCTTTTTTTCCCTTCTTTTCTCTTTTTTTCTTTTATGCATTATTCTTTTCCTGAGTAATTTAATAACTTTGTAGAAAATATTTTTCTTTTTGAACTTAACTTTGTAGAAAATCTTGCTGGCAACAAAATAAGCAATCTACATATTGGTGTAATCTGAAACCAGTAGTATTTCCAGTAACATTTTAATTACGTATGAACGATTTAGAATCATTATTTTATCAACATGATAGATTAATATATTATCAATATTTTAGGGTTCTTGATGAAATTTTTGTTTGGTTTAAAATGCTAATGTTTTTAAAAATCATTGTTGCTATGGGGCATTATATTTTAATGTGCTTTAGGCACCACGAAACTCCGGACCGGCACTGAAGAAGAGGATATAATTAAAAGAAGTGTCTATATATATTCTCTATGCATGCATGCATGAAAATTTTGGAAAATACTAAAATCGAAATTACCGGTGGAAATTAACAAGACAACGAGCAAAAGAGTGGTGAAGCACATGGTATTGAGGGTCTTTGCCATTTCGGTAGCTTTTGCTTTCTTCCTTTTTTTTTTCTTGCACTTAATTGATTACTTGATAATGTTAAATTTGGATGATAGAAATCAGTGGGGATTGTTACCTATTTATAATGAAATCTTTGTTGACTTATTAGGCAGTTTAGTTATATATTACATTCTTTATTTCTTTTTCTTTTTTTTTTTGTCAAAAGTTATATATTACATTCTATATACAGTAATACAGTATACTAGCTAGATTTGCGACGTCGGCGTTTCATTCTCATACGTATATAGCCTATAATTAGGCACAGCTCTTAAATTCCATGCATACTTTCATTTTAAACCCCGTTAGGTAATTTCCCTTTTTAACAGCTCTTAAATATTATTTGCGTATATACTTTCCGAAATATATATAACTTTTGTTTTTTGAAATAACACCATATTTTTGTTTATATATTCACATCATTCTCCTTTTTTGATAAAACACATCATTCTTTTTTCTTTGAAAACTTTTAAATTCTGTTATAAACGATCTAAACTCAACTGTATAATTAATGGTTCCTACTTCTTTTAATTTTAGGTTTATCTCTTCTTTAAAAAGGTAATTTTGTGCTTTTCAAAGGTCATTTAAAATTGTGGTATTTGATAAAAAAAAAAAAAAAAGCATACGATAGTACTAATTAGAATATAGAAAATAAACATAGTGTTATATTTAATTATGCATTTGATTTGCAAATCAGATCTGTTGGAGATAAAGATTCCCATCGGAGAGAAGAACGAGACTTAAGTAATATGTACAAGGAAATTGAGCTATTCCATTTTCTGTCAATTAGTTTTATGTTGAATATCTAGAAAAAAATATCATGGTAACAGAGCGGTTTCCTATTCTGGCACATTAATCCGGTTAGAAAGTATTCCAATTATTTCACTAATTGATGGCATAAGAAATGTTTAATTCCGCTGAAACAGTTAGAAAAAAGTTTATTTTAGAGGGGAAATGATGGATTATGTCAGAGATTAATCTTTATACGCATAATCATTTCAAAGAAAGGTGTTAGAAATAAAAATCTCACATCAAAAAGATAAAATGGACTTAAGTAATATGTACCATTTCACTTACCGTCAATGGTTTTATGTTGAAAGACCAGAAAACTTAACAAAATCAAATATAATATTTTCATAGAGATAAAAATTGATCACATTTAACAAAATAAATCAAATAAAGTAAACAAACGCACAATTTCAATATTTTTTAAAAAAGAAAAACAAACTACTAAGCAATAAAACAGATTAGAGAGCTATGTTCCATGAATAATCTTTGCGCATTGGATCTTAATCCATTTGTAACTCTTTTTCAAAGATTTCTTCACCTTTCCTTCAGCCGAATAGAGCTTGTATTTGGCCACTCGTCTCTTTCTCTTAATCTCAGGATCGTTCCACCATCCTACGATTATTACATTAATTCACAAACATATACTTTTATACAATGTTAGAGTCATTGTAAACCTCATCTAAAATGTTAGATCAATAATCATTTTAAACGTAAATGATGTGTAAAGTAGAAACAAAATGCAAACACAAAAATTCGTTGTAGTTTAGAAATGATATATGGTTCATTTTTTTGGTAAGTACCTTTTAATGTTTTTGAATGAGAAGGAGGTCTCCTGGATTTAACGGGCAGGTCCTTGTAGGAAATTTTACGCCATAGATCTGATGTCATGGGAGATTGATTACGCTTTGATTCTCTAACAACATAGATTCCTCTAACCGGTTTTAAGTCGGCAGGATCAACTAGTTGAAGGTTCCGATCTCCTTCATACGATTTGTAAGATCGTATGTTAGGAGATTGGAGATCCTTCATCCCGTCTCTCTATTTTTTTTCTGTTTATTTTATCTGTTTTATATCTCATTTGAATCTCCATAATGTGATCTATAAACTTGTTTTTTTTTCAGGATGGCAAATATGTGGTGGGGAAAAAACTTGTTACAACGATTTTATCAAAAATAGAAAGGACATTAACTTTTGACGAACAATAGAGACTAGAAAAAAGGCAATACAAATTATCACCCATGCATAGTCTTGACCGTAAATAGATATGGTCTCTTTCTCTTTCCCAGCTTACTGATTTTTTTTCCTGGTTAGAATTCAACATAAAGGTCCAATATAATTACCAAAGTAAAGGGGTGCACTGGTATGTACAGAGATTGTATGTTCATCCTGTAAACAATCTCACGCACTGGAATCAACTCTGAAAGAAAGAAGAACATTAACTGAATGAGGTTATCAACTCTTGCATATTACTATTCATAGAGTTACAAAACACAACACGTGACCAGAACCCTTGTCATTCAAGTCATTGACACTTAGTTTTTTAGTTCTACGCATATATTTACACATTATTGTATTTAAATAAGTCATATACACTTCTGAAAATATTTATTTATTTTAATATATATCACTACGGTGTAAAACAAAAGTTATACATATACATAAGTGAAATTAAACACCCGCGGGTTCAAAGTCTAGTTTGTCTTTTAAGTTTTAATATAGAAGATATTAGCTTTACTCTTTAGTAAACTTAAAGCTTCCTTTCTGATTACAAAATTCTTAATGCCTTTTCACATCAAGGGCTAAGTACGAACCTATGTTCCGAGTTGGCATTTTAGCTTAGAACATAGTGTTGGTTGGTTTATACTAGTTTGAGAGGACTTGATCAAACTCAAACCGAGCTACTTTTTAGTTTGATTAGTTTAGTTTAAGTCCTGTTAGGCTTTATGCTAAAGAATATATTACTGAGAATAGTAATGAGAATATTGGTATGATGTCTTTTTATCCATAGATGCTTAAACATGGTAGTTAATATCTTCTTTACATGTAAATAAACCCTGTAAACAAACTCATCAAAATCCAAAAACAAGAGAGAATGCAATTCGAATTTTATCTTCAGATACTTTTGGTGGATACAGCAGCACAGTGAGCAATGCAAACATTGTGGGGTGTTGGGTTCCCATTATGAAAGAATAAAGAATGAGGGATCATCCTTGTTTCTAGGGTTACAAGAAAATCTCCTTTAGGATTAAGAGTACTATCATGATTAAGCAGAGGATGACAAGAACAGACGCACACATAACCATACCTCCACTTCTCTGTGTACGTTCTGCCTGCAGAGATTCATAAAGCAAATCCACTTGAACATTCAGTCATGAAAACGTTGAGAGAGAGAGAGAGAGCGAGATGGTATATACTCTAAAAGAGTTTACCTTTTGCAGCTGTTTGAGACCATCTTCAACTGTACTAGCAACGTTCTGGATGTTGTAGTCAATCCGATCAACTATTGTACCCTGTCACAAACAAAAAAAAATTGAGTGACTTTTAGACGCTAGGTAACAGTTAAACAGTGTTATACCTGGTCTATTACAAGTGCAGAAAGATCCTTCATTATCTGGGCGAGCTCGTTTACGGATTCAACAACCTGTAGATGACACAGAAGGAGAAAGGTGACAAGGTTATGATTGTATATGAATAGAAGATAGCAATGAAGAGCACTAAGTGTTGCAAAACACTAACCTGCTGAATCTCTTTCTCCCTCTCTACTGATATTTCCTCGCTCTTTTTTATCTTGCTCATCTGATGCTCACTAAATAACTGAAACCAAAAAAAATGCATAGTTACAGAACACATACAAAAGAGGAACAACGTTTGTAGATTGCAATAAAGGAGTCGTACAATATCATCAAAGTCATCATCTTCTGCTCTAGAGCTGCTTCCATTGAGATTCATCTCTAAATCCGCTCCATCCTGATCATACATCACAGAATATATTTCCTTAGAATCATACAAAAATAAACAAGAGACTAATGAAATTCATATGACCAAAAGAGCAGTTGCAGAACAAAACAAGAGACTCCAAAACTTAGTAACTAGAACTTCATTGCATACCTCTTTTTGTAGTCTCAGACGTTTCAGATATGTAGACTGTTTCTTGCGGAGCTCCATAGAAAGGAATTGGAGATCAGTAGCAAGAGATCTCTGTTACAAAAACACATCAAAGTGTCAAACTTTAGATGTTGATGAAAAAAGAAGGAGCCCAAGAACACTGACCTGCACGTTTTTCCTGACGTTTGAATCCTCAGAAGGTCCAGCTGCAGATAGCTTCTGAAGTTGCTTCTCTGATTTCCTCAACAGGAAAGTAATCTCTTGAGTCAAAGACTCAATCTGATGCTGATCTTCTTTACCATCACCAAACGTAGGCATCAAGGCTTTCGCATGAGCCTTCCCCAGTTCAGCCATTTTAGTCCTTGCCCTCTGAATGTTCACTGAAATCTCCTCAGAAACATCGACCCAATCTGGTGGTAACCCCACTGTTATTGCTCCTCCTCTACTGTAACAACATTGAAAAACAAAAAGATTTTTTTTCAGCTTCAACAAATCAATAAGAAACATTTTTTTATTACCATGGAAGTTATGGACCTTAGACTCTTTGGAAATTCCAATTTAAAGAATAACATTTCCTAGTAATGGTGGTTAGAACCCGGAGCACAAGGAAATCATTGTTGCTTAGGATGATACCAATTCTTCTAAAATTGGTCTAGTTGTCCGCCTAAACAATAATCCTCGCCTAACCACGGCAACGAATAAATCCCAATTTTTTTGATCATACACAAAAGAACAAATCCCAATTTTTTTTTATTCGTATACAATAATCTTCTTAATATAACCAACATTCTTTTTATTACCATGGAAGTTCTGAAGCATAATCTTCTAAGCTGAAGTCAGTCTTTGGAAATTCCAATTTAAAGAATAACATTTTCGTACCAATGGTGGTTTGAACCCGGAGCACAATGAGAATCATTGTTGCTCACAATGATACCAATTCTTCTATATCAGTGTTCTAAAAATCGGTCTAGGCGCCGCGGCGCCAACTATTGAAAAAACAATGCCTAAATCTTACTTCTCTATAACGCGCCTAACCATTTCTTGAGCATTGCTACCAATTAATCAACAACTTAGTAACAAGATTCATAAGCTTAACTAACACTAGAAGCTACCCCCATGTTTAATGAGTTTCTTATGCAATCACAAAGCTCCAACAATTCTACTGTGCGGTTTGTACCTCGAACTCCCTGGATCTTCGGTACTAACCGGAGCATAGGATCGTTTGGGATGCAATAGAGATGAGCTAGCCATCTCGATCACAGGACCTACGCCGGATTTCGATTCCGTCATCGGAGCACGGACGCTCCTCAGTGAGTTTCTGTACTTTCGGAACAACAACGTACGATTCCTCGTCGCCATAGCAGCAGCTATAGATGTTAAACCACTAGAAGAAAAACTCAGTAGCCTTTGTTTTTAGATTTCTCTCCGATCGTTAGCTATAGATCTGAACAGGAACGTGGTTTCATCGTAGCGATTGGGAACGGATCCAGCGCGAAATCGTCACGTTGAGTGAAACGAGGATCGGAGGTTTCTTGAGCTGTTCGAGTGCTCGGAGGATTGATCCTTCGATCGCCGGCGAGATTAAACGTCTCCGACGAGAAAGAGTCAGCTCCGAGATTTACAAATTGAAACTTTTCATCACCCGAGAAAAAAAGAGTGAATAATTTATTTTGGGTTTAGATTGAAGCTTAATGGGCTTATAACATGGGCCTTATAAGTTTTCTAAATTTCTTTGTTCTCTTCGTCTCTGCATTTACTAACATTATCTCCAGCCTGAAACTTAACAGTTCTCTGACAAATTTACAGATCGACTTTTATCATATAAGAAAACAGTTAAATTTAGTGTATGGTAGGGGCTGCGCGAACGCAAACCCCCTCTGCCACAAATAATGACGTAAGCTCTTCCACTTGGGAAGACTTTAGGCTAAGCGCCCTTCCTCAGTGCAATGGAAGTCACTAGCCTAGGCCACTCGTCTTCTTGATCACGAGTCGACCCCGTCCAGGTAAGTAATTTGCAAGAAGCCACGAGCGTTGTTTTTATAGTGAGTCTCCAAGGCCTCCTTTGTTTCTCCTAACCGATGTGGGATGCTTGCGAAGTATGAAACTTTCGCTGTTTTAGTTTCCTTAAGAGACACTACATGCCGTCTCAGTGCTACTTTTTTTAACAGCGTGTCGGATATAGGGCTAATACAAACGAAAAACGGCAAGACCTTGGCTTACTTTACATCTCTACTGGGCTGGGTATCTTTTAGGCCCAAATTAGTGACTAGTATAAGGTCATTGATGACCAACTCTTAAATTATTGTCTACTGTATGTATGTATAGTAGTGTTGTGCCTGTTGGTTAAAGCTATAGTTTACTTAAAGAGTTAAACGAGATTTTAGATGGATTTCTAAACTCTAAAGCAATATCAATAATCGACATGGTCCATAAGTTATGAAGATCTCTAAGTTATAGATACGTTGGTTGAAATTCAACTACCTAATAAGTAACATGTAGATAACAACTTTAAATTGTGAGTTTGAGTGGAAAGGTAATCTACAAATTTGGATGTCACTGAGAGAACAGTTATTCAACCTTTCAACTCCCTTCACTGATCTTTTTATAAAATTTAATAGCTGAGCTATGGAGAACAGATCTAAGCCTTTTGTTAAAAATGGACTAAAAGTACACTAAAGGGAGTTAATCCTCCCGATGATGTCCAGCAAAATAATATGTAGAAGTTTGATATTTAAAAATGGTTACAAAACTAAGACTAATATATATTTTTGTTAGCCAACAATCAAACCCAAAAGTAAGAAAAAAATAACATATAGAAGCAATATTCTAAACGTATTATTACACTAGACTTCCACTTCAATGTTCTCAGTTCGTGCATTCAACTGGAACGCATATATATGTAGATCTAGTTCATATAATATATCTTGTTGATACATGGTATTAAAGAAAGTACTTGGATACTCGAATATCCATATTTTAAACCTCGTACTTTGTCACTGAAAAAGGCAGTTAAATTAAAATATATAGTTGGTGATTAGTCATTTCGTGAAACTTTGGAAGTTTATGAAAAAGTGGAGCCGTCGAGTGACTTATAAATTAAATCGCATAAGAGAGTAGGATTGACAATATCTAATCGACTTTTTCAGAAGAAAAGCATAATCACTTTAAGAAATCTATATACAAGGGGTTGTTTTATACATCTTAGTGGTGTTAGATATTTAAGGGACCCAACTGTACTAAGTTCGTAGGTATCACTAATAAAATGTGATCCATATTAAGACAATCATAAGTTAAGACTAGAACTTATAAATGAGCTTCTTCATATATAATGAAAGTAGATATTCTTGCTAGAAGATATTAGCAGTTGAAAATAACTGATTAATGTGCTGGCGAGCAGAGAAAGCTGGTAGTGAGATAAGCTGAAGTACCACATAAGTACATATATATAAACAAAAACAAACTGAACTTAACCAACTACACTATACTGTTTTCAATCAAATCTTGATTTTGCTTATCTCAATTTTCTTATTTTGAATGTGACCTTTTTTGCCTTTGTGGTTTACATTTACATGCTTATCTTATTTTTACATTCAAAGAAACCAACCATTTATGTTTCCATCAATTCCATATAGGTTTATAATTAAATAAGCGGATGAAAATAAATGCAGTTAAGAAATGTATAACTATTAAGCAAAAAGAAGAATTGTATATCAAAATAAAATGAAACAAATATAATTTTTAGCATATTGCTTAAATATAAATGTAAACAATTAGGTTAGTATCAAACATATAACTTCTAAAGTTATGTTTTCCCTATTATTTTCATTATTCTTATCATTTTAAAACAGAGTCAGATTTCTTTTTTTGACAAAGGGCTTAGAACAGATTCAGTTATCAGTATACTATCAGCATCATTCTAAGGCAAAGGAAGATATTAGCTGATCCATAATGTATCCACAACCAACAAATATTTTCTTACAAAATATACATGACTTTAATTATTCAGAGATGTATATAGAGAGCTTATTTACCCACGTGTACCTCCGAGTTCTCAAAATAACTTCAACTACTTAAAGTAATATAACAAGAGAGGAAACAAAGTGACAACATGTAAAAAAAACACTTGAAAACCTAGTTTAGGCTTTAGAATAACAACATCATAGCAAGTGTCAAATCTATCCATGTGATCGTATGTGTTTGGTCCATTTACAGAATTATACAAGGTTTCGAGTGCAATAGACTTTATATTGAAGTCCATAAGAAGTGAGTCACGAGCTTATAATAGCAGACATTGGAATGTCACTGTTGAAGTTGTCAGATTATTTACTTTATATGTTATATTTAGATTTTGAGTGGTGCTGCTTTTTTAACATATGACGCATATACAAAAGCTTACAAGGACCACAATCATAATGAACATTGTAGTTGACAAGCCAAGCACTACTCTACATAATGAATTAATTGAAAAAAAAAAAGATTCAAGTGGGATCATTATAGCTTTTAAAGAAAGCACGTCAAGCCAACGCTACAGTTATGAAAAAAACAAAACAAAAACAGAGACAGCATAAAAGTTGAAGGTGATTGGTAGATGAAGTTAAGAGTTGCTGTATACACTTGTAATTCATACATTGGTTTGTGTCTCTCTCTTTCTCTCTTTATTATAGTGTTGTTTATGAATCTTTGTTTCTTGATTTGGAACCGACATGGCTCCTAACACTTGGGATTTTCTCTGTCTATTCATAGGAATCTGAATCTCACTCTCTCTCACTCCAACCTGTGTGTAAGTTCTCCTCAGTCTCTTCTCTTTATATTCTTTTTTTTTTTTTGTTATTGTTAGATTCACTTAGGTTTTGTTGTGTTTGATCTTGACTAACGTTTGAGGTGTTTACTTCCTTCTTACTCAACTTTTTTTGGAGTTTGTTTGCTATTTGGGACTCTTGTCTAGTGTTTGGTTTGTTAGTTTCTCACAATTTTATTTCTTACTTTAGACAACAAGAACTTGATGATGATTCACATATGTGTGTTTCCTCATTGGTATGGTTTTGCGTAATACACAATCCCAACGTTCCTACCTTTACAAACTTTCTCAACTGGGTCTGAAGTTCAAGAAAGATTACACATCGAAACTCTTTACTTTGTTGACTTTTTTTTAATCTTCCTTTGCTTATTTTTCACAGGAACAAAATCTTTCTGTCTTGGATTTTGGAGATGGCTATGCAAACTGGTCAACAGATCTCTTGGTGGAATGCTTTTGGATCTCAGCCGTTGACTCCGGTGAGTCTTACCGGCGATTCTGACTCGTTCGGATCTGCTGTAGAGACAGAACATGGTGTGGATAAACATAACAACAACTCTGCTACTCACTTGGCTTTCTCACTTGGTAACACTTAACTTCCTTTGTCTTTCTCTATGTATGGTTGTAGTAAACTTTCTAAATTCTCCAAATTGTAAACTGGTGGAACATGTTTTACTATCTACTTATAGGTGTGTAACTGAGCTAAATTGTCTAAAGTGAATCTATAAAAGGAAATAGATGTTGTATGCTTCATATTGTAATGTTTTTTCCTTTTGTAGATAACTGTGAATCCATACTTATATGTTTTCTATTCTTTTAGGTGATGTGAAGAGTTCAAGAGGTGTACCAAAGCCTGCTTTCTCAATGCAACCACCTTGCTTGGAATTTGGATTTACTCAGCCACAGGTACAGTATTCCACATTTTTCTAGAAAAAAATCTAAAAATATTATCTATCATCAATGTTTTTTTATTTTTATTTTTTTTTTCTGAGTAACTAGTTCTTGTTTGGTGTTTTATTTCTTTGTACATTTAGATGTATCCTTGTGTGGAACAACACTATGGAGTTGTTTCAGCCTATGGTTCTCAGAGCAGAGTGATGCTTCCTCTAAACATGGAAACAGAAGATGGAACAGTCTTGGTGAACTCAAAGCAATACCATGCAATCATCAGACGTCGCCAATCACGTGCCAAGGCTGCTGCTGTTCTTGACAAGAACAAACAAAGTAGCAGAGGCCGTAAGGTAAATTATAACATATCAAAAACTATTTTAGTATTTTTGTTGTAAATCAAGTCCATTTAGTGTTTGTTTTGGCCTTAAGTTGATGTATGTTGCAGCCATATATGCACCATTCACGTCATCTCCATGCACTGCGCCGTCCAAGAGGATCCGGTGGAAGATTCTTGAACACTAAAAGTGGAACCAATGCAAAGAAAGCTGATGGAACTAAGCAGCCTCAGCCTCAGCAAAGTAACTCTCAGAACTCTGAAGTTCTTCATCCGGAAAGTGGGACCATGAACCTAACAGGGCTAAATGTCTCTGGATCAGAAGTTACAAGCATGAACTACTTTCTAAGTTCTCCGGTCCATTCTCTTGGTGGCATGCTAATGCCTAGCAAGTGGATTACAGCAGCAGCAATGGATAATGGCTGCTGCAATTTCAAAACCTGATATTTTACCATTGTGTCAGAGTCAAATAGAGAGAGAGAGGAGAGAACTCTTGGTCTTGTAAAAAGACAATGAGTTTTCTTTCTTTCTTGGTAATCCATTTTGACTGTGAACAGGCAAATCATCTTTGGCTCATTCTCTATCAAGGCTTTCTTCTCCTGTAAGGTGAAGGACAACCTTGATGCTATCTTAGTGTGAAAACTAGTTAAAACTGTGTGAAGAACAATGATGGGGCTTTTGGCAACTAAACCCACTGTCTTGTGTGGTTTTCTGATGTTTTATATCTCCTGTTTATCTGTGTGTGTGTGTTTATGTATGTTTCTGAAACAAATGTAAGAACTTGTAGTTGTGTGGCTTATGTAACATAATTCAGTCCTGGATTCGTATATTTTTCCTTCTCAGTTGTTCACGTAACTACAAGCTCTAGAAGGTACAAATCTTATCAGAACTGAAAAGAGTTCTATGCTTGTGAACGACACTTAATATCATAGCATGTTCTTGCTGTAACGAATAAGAAAAAGATTGAACTTAATGTATGGTAGGGGCTGCGCGGACGCAAACCCCCTCTGCCACCAATAATGACGTAAGCTTTTCCACTTGGGAAGACTTTAGGCTAAGCGCCCTTCCTTGGTGCAATGGAAGTCACTAGCCTAGGCCACTCGTCTTCTTGATCACGAGTTGACCCCGTCCAGGTAAGTGATTTTCACGTTGCCACGAGTCTTGTATTTATAGTGAATCTCCAAGGCCTCCTTTGTTTCTCGTAACCGATGTGGTGACTCTGGAAAATCTCAAACTTTCCGCTGTTCTTATTTATTTTAAAAGAATTAATCGACTCATTAAGTGGTATATGAAAATTAGAAAATATGATATTTTTGTTTTACTGCATAGAAGCATCATGCACTGCCATAGTATGAAGATAAAAGAGGTTTGAGACATTTGGTGTTTCCGTTTCTCCAAAATATAAATTTTTATTGTGGTTAGTCCAGAAATTAAGTGTTATATGAAATTAAAATAAATTACACGTTCAAAAATTTGAAACGATGCTCTTGTACCATTAAAATAAAATTAAAATACATTAATATAAATTTATAATCTGTTTTGGTTTTTTTATTCAACAATGAAACGCCTAAACTTCAATTTATAGCATTAACCGGAATACTCGATCTTTTCATAGGGGTTACCCCACATATTTTAAGAAAAATTAGAAAATATCATATTTTTGTTTTACTGCATAGAATCATCATGCATAGACATAATAGTAAGATGAAAGAGGTTTGAGACCTTAGATGTTTTCGTTTCTCTAGAAAATAAATTTTTATTGGGGTTAGTCCACTAATTAAGTGGTATATGAAGCTAAAATAAATTACTTGTCCAAAATTCGTAATGATACTCTTGTACCATAAACATAAATTTAAAATAAATTAATATAAATCTATTATCTGATTTGGTATTTTCTAATCAACAATAAAGAGCCTAAACTTAAATTTATAGCATTTAACCATAAACTTGATCTTTTCGTATGGGTTAGTCCACGTATTTCAAGAAAAATTAGAAAATATCATATTTTTGTTTTACTGGATAGAATCATCATGTGTTGACATAGTATGAAGATGAATGAGGTTTGAGACATTAGGTGTTTCCGTTTCTCCAAAAAATATTTTCTTAGTAGGGTTAATCAACTGATTAAGTGGTATATGAAATTAAAATAAATTATTTGTTCAAAAATTCGAAATGATGCTCTTGTAGCATGATAATAAATTTGAAATAATTTAATATAAATTTATAATCTGATTTGGTATTTTTTATTCAATAGTAGAGAGCATAAACTTCAATTTATAGCATTTATTGGCAAACTCGATCTTTTCATAGGGGTTATAACCCACATATTTCAAAAAAAAATAGGAAATATGATTTTTTTTACTGCATAGAAGCATCATGCACTGCCATAGTATGAAGATGAATGAGGTTTGAGACCTTTGGTGTTCCCGTTTCTCCAAAAAATAAATTTTTATTGTGGTTAGTCCAAAAATTAAAATAAATTACTCGTTCAAAGATTCGAAACGATGTTCTTGTACCATGAAAATAAATTTAAATTAAATTAATAGAAATTTATAATCTGATTTGTTTTTTTTATTCAACAATAAAGAGCTTAAACTTCAACTTATAGCCTTAACCGAAAACTCGATCTTTTCATAGGGGTTAACCCACATATTTCAAGAAAAATTAGAAAATATCATATTTTTGTTTTACTGCATAGAATCATCATGTTTTGACATAATATGAATATGAAAGATGTTTGAGACCTTAGGTGTTCCTGTTTCTCCAAAAAAATAAATTTTTATTGGGGTTATTCCACTGATTAAGTGGTATATGAAGCTAAAATAAATTACTCGTTCCAAAATTCGAAATGATGCTCTTCTACCATAAACATAAATTTAAAATAAATTAATATAAATTTATTATCTGATTTGGTATTTTTTAACCAACAATAAAGAGGCTAAACTTCAATTTATAGCATTTATCGGCAAACTCGATCTTTTCGTAGGGGTTAGCCCACGTATTTCAAGAGAAATTAAAACAATATGATATTTTTGTTTTACTTCATAGAAGCATCATGCACTGACATAGTACAAAACTTAAAGAGGTTTGAGACTTTAGGTGTTCCCGTTTCTTTAAAAATAAATTTTATTGGGGTTAGTCCACTAATTAAGGTGTATATGAAATAAAAATAAATTACTCGTTCAAAAATTCAAAATGATGCTCTTCTACCATGAAAATTAATTTAAAATACATTAATATATATTTATAATCTGATGTGGTATTTTTTATTCACCAATAAAGAGCCTAAACTTCAATTTATAGTCTATATAAGAAAACTCGATCTTTTCATAGGGGATAACCCACATATTTCAAGAAAAATTAGAAAATATGATATTTTTGTTTTACTGCATAGAAGCATCATGCACTACCATAGTATAAAGATGAAAGAGGTTTCAGACCTTTGGTGTTCCCATTTCTACAAAGAATAAATTTTTATTGTGGTTACTCCAGAAATTAAGTGTTATATGAAATTAAAATAAATTACTCGTTCAAAAATTCGAAACGATGTTCTTGTACCATGAAAATAAATGTAAATTACAGTAATATAAATTTATAATCTGATTTGTTTTTTTATTCAACAAAAAGAGCCTAAACTTCAATTTATAGCCTTAACCGGAAAACTCGATCTTTTCATAGGGGTTAGCCCACATATTTCAAGAAAAATTAGAAAATATCATATCTTTGTTTTAATGCATAGAATCTTCATGCATTGACATAATATGAATATGAAAGAGGTTTGAGACCTTAGGTGTTCCCGTTTCTCGAAAATATATTTTTTTATTGGATTAGTCCACTGATTAAGTGGTATATGAAGCTAAAATAAATTACTCGTTCAAAAACTCGAAATGATGCTCTTGTACCATAAACATAAATTTTAAATAAATTTATTATCTGATTTGGTACTTTTTAATCAACAATAAAGAGGCTAAACTTCAATTTATAGCATTTGTTTTCCGGCAAACTCGATCTTAGGGGTTAGCCCACATATTTCAAGAGAAATTAGAGAATATGATATTTATGTTTTATTTCATAGAAGCTTCATGCACTGACATAGTATGCAAATTAAAGAGGTTTGAGACCTTAGGTGTTCCCTTTTATATAAAAATTAATTTTATTGGGGTTAGTCCACTAATTAAGGTGTATATGAAATTAAAATAAATTACTCGTTCAAAGATTCGAAACGATGTTCTTGTAACATGAAAATAAATTTAAAATACATTAATATACATTTATAATCTGATTTGGTATTTTTTATGCACCAATAAAAAGCCTAAACTTCAATTTATAGCCTTGTTAGAAAAGTCGATCTTTTCAAAGGGGGATAGTTCACATATTTCAAGAAAAAATAGAAAATATGAAATTTTTGTTTTACTTCATAGAGGCATCATGCACTGCCATAGTATGAAGATTAAAGAGGTATGAGACCTTTGGTGTTTCCGTTTCTCCAAAAAATAAATTTTTATTGTGATTAGTACAGAAATTAAGTGTTATATTAAATTAAAATAAATTACTCGTTCAAAGATTCGAAACGATGTTCTTGTACCATGAAAATAAATTTAAATTACATTAATATAAATTTATAATCTGATTTGTTTTTTTTATTCAACAATAAAGAGCCTAAACTTCAATTTATAGCCTTAACCGGAAAACTCGATCTTTTCATAGGGGTTAGCTCACATATTTCAAGAAAAGTTAGAAAATATCATATTTCTATTTTAATGCATAGAATCATCATGCATTGAAATAGTATTAAGATGAAAGAGGTTTGAGACCTTAGGTGTTTCCGTTTCTCCAAAAAAATAAATTTTAATTGGAGTTAATCCACTCATTAAGTGGTATATGAAGGTAAAATAAATTACTCGTTCAAAAATTCGAAATGATGCTCTTGTACCATAAACATAAATTTAAAATAAATTAATATAAATCTATTATCTGATTAGGTATTTTTTAATCAACAATAAAGAGCCTAAACTTCAATTTATAGCATTTAACCGGAAAACCTGATTTTTTCGTAAGGGTTAGCCCACGTATTTCAAGAAAAATTAGAAAATATCATATTTTTGTTTTACTGCATAGAATCATCATGCATTGACATGGTATGAAGATGAATGAGGTTTGAGACCTTAGGTGTTTCCGTTTCTCCGAAAAATAATTTTTTATTAGGGTTAATCCACTAATTAAGTGGTATATGAAATTAAAATAAATTACATGTTCAAAAATTCGAAATTATGCTCTTGTACCATGATAATAAATTTAAAATACATTAATAGAAATTTATAATCTGTTTTGGTATTTTTTATTCAAAAGTAAAGAGCCTAAACTTCAATTTATAGTATTTATCGG